AATAATAATTGATATTGATAAGGATAATTTTCAGTTTATGCTTGATTTGCATAACATTAGTTTCGAATTTATCTTGTAAGTTATATATACTGACATTTTAAAACATGCTATTCAGATGTAACTTTTATTAAACGAATATAATTCAATAACAAGTCTCACGCATTCTTTAACATTATAGCAGGCTATTTTGTTTCTTCCCCAAAATTCTGCTTTTTTTTCTGTATTGGTCACATAATAGTTTTATACTAATATTGTATGCTTAAATTATAATAAGATTAACTAATTATTTTCCTAACAACACGTTTTGGCACTAATAAATATTTAGTATGTTATACGTTGGCTTTATTTACTAGCAAGTGAATAAGCTCTAGTAACTGGTACAGCTTGAATAATGTTCTTTGAATGGTAGCTCCAGAATTATGTCGTTGTTACACACGTTGACTGTTTAATCGGCAATTAAAAAACCAGGTCACAGCCCAGTAGGTCTGCAATCGTTGGTACAGTCGCACAACCTGTTTGCTCTTGCTGTGTTCTTGAGTGCAATTGGTAACGACATCTACATGGATTGTTGATATTCTTATGTTAGATGTGTCATCAGAATACACTCTGGCATACTTGTATCTAGTGGCGCTAAACTTGAACTATCCAACACCATATAATTGTATTGCTTCAACATATCATAATAGCTGTTTCCTGTATCATAATTTTTTTTTTTATTGCTTATACACTTATCATATAAACCTGTGTTATAGTATTTGGTGTTTCAGAAAAGTGGTTGTTCTATGAAGAAATATGTTCTTGACATGAAAGAGACTTGTACTTGAAAGTATTTATGTCTATCCAAACAACAGACAAACGAGCTTTTTTGTCTGAGTTGTCGGAGGGAATGGATGTTAACGTCCGTTCCCTAGCTTTTTTTTAAACGAATAAGGCTGGTGTCCGGAAGTGGTGTTTGAGTGCAGCTGTGACCTTGTATTTCTGATATTATGTAGACTTTTCTTTATTTCCTAATACCAGATGTTCAATTACCATGACATCATTTTACATTGTTATAAAACTGCCTTTATACATTTCTTGGTTTTATTTTAGAGGCTATACCTTGCCCCCTTTCATTCTGCCTTCCATAATATTTTCTGTATTTATACTGTTATTATTATTATATTTTAATTTCGTATAGCACATACGAATCATAAAATTAAACTACTTTCCACTGGTTTGAAGGTCAGTATGCGAAATATTTTCGAACAACAGTTAATTTTTCAAAGCATTTATTGATACTGAATGAAGTTGTTTGTATTTAATATATACAGTAGGAAGAATGTTTGTTAGTGCATAACACAGTGAAAAATACTTGTAATTTTGATGTAACATAGGTCATAGGATATAGACTTGCTAACATGTCACACAAAACAACAACTTAGGGCATATAAACATTGTCAGTTTATATCTTACTTTACATTTAGCGTATTAACTGCCATCTTCCTCTCATGAAAACTATACGGACCACTCACTGCGAGTGTTGCTTAAACTCACCGTGGCCGCAAATGAGCAAGTTTTGATTATATGAACTCAGTAAAAAAAAGAAAAAAGACTTATTCCTGTTATTTTGCCACTGAACTTATTTTTTCATTATTAACATGCTAAAATACATTGCTTGTTCCTATCACAAGTGATGAAAAAACAACTAAAGTTGGTATGTTACTACCAACAGATACTACTTACAGATAAGTAGGGCCCTCTTTAATCTGTGACAATTCTCACCATGAGCTGATCAGTACTTAACGCGCCCACGATGTGGTACCATTCTTGGTCCGAATAACTGGTATTTTGGGTAGCACAGTTTCCACTATTTACCGGCAGGTGTCTTGTGCAACTTGTTTCCTTTGATGATTCAGAATTTCAGATATGATCTAACCTTCCAAGATATTCCACCTAGATGGGTTCAAATACATTGCCTACTTTGAAATCAGGCATAGTTTTTACATTCGATGACGAGGAACCCACTTTGAGACTAATAATGGCTGGAGACGGCTTGAATGGGTAATGAAGAAAAACTTT